CAAGTTCAAAGCCAGCCTCAGCAATTTAGTGAGGCCCTAAGCAACTGTCTCTAAATAAAAAACAAGAAAGGGCTGGAGATGTGGCTCAGTGGTTAAGCACCCCTGGGTTAAGCATCCCTGAGGGAAAAAAACAAAAACAAAAGAACAAAGAAATCTCCCACAAACCCTGAGAACTTCTAGAGTCCCAGACTTCAGAGATTTAAACTGGTGACATGCAAAGAAATGGGCATCAGAGTAATAATGGACTTCATGATAAAAACTTGTGATGTTAGAAGTCAAAGGAAAAGTGTCCTGAAAATTCTGCAGAGAAATGATTTTTAATCAAGTTATTATGCAGATCATCAATACGTGTGTGGGTAGAACAAAAACATTCTCAGGTGTGTAAAGATTCTAAAAACTGATCTGTGCCATTCTTCGTAGAAAGACACTGTAGGAGCTACTCCATCAAAATCAAGGAGCAAACTAAGAAAGAGGGGTACAGCAGGACCTGGAAACATGCTCTGTCACAGACGGAGCGAAGAGCTATTCCAGGTGGGCAGGAGCCACTGCTTTTCCTTCTAAGTCAATACCATTTGATTTCTGAACTATGTGCCTATATTACTGTGATTAAAAAATGAAGTCTAATCAAGGAAAACATGGTTGAAACACTAGTAAGCTCCAGGTGCCAGATAAAAGAGGGGAGGAGACGAACAGAAGAGATTTCTGAGGAGTAAGTGAGCCCAGGAGCCATGTGCTCTTGTGTAGAATGGGCTCCGAGTGTGTGTGTGGGGGGACGGGATGGGGGATGAACTGTGGGAATAGTGCGCACACTGCCTAAAAGAGTTTGCTGGAACCAGCATGTCTCAGAAAACACAAGGCGTGGGCAGGAAGGGATGGGGACTGGGGCCACTAGTCACAAGAAAGTGTTCACAAAGTCACTGGAGGTTGTGACTTGCCACCCACTCTTTCCTCCTCGACACTGCATCACCCGGCCCCTCTCCACCTACCAGCTGAGACTAAAGACAAAGTCTGTGATGGTGGGTGCCTGTCCAGTGCCACTCAGAAACTCAGGGAAAGTCCCACCCCACCACTTTGAGGAACTATAGCATCCATCTGTCCCAGGGTTCTGGGGCAGAGAGTGGAAGGCAATGACCTTAATCGCATCCTTTCCCTGTGCCAGGCATGTTACATACATTTTCTCATCCCAGCCAGCTACACGCTGTCTCAGATGAAGAAATTACTGGCAAAATTCATAAGAAATGAGATGTTCTGTGCCTGTCTGCTTGATCGCAAAGTCCCCTAGATTGAGAAACGGACAGACCTAAACCAAGGAGAGAAAGGGCTTGTAGCAGTGTGGTAAGAACATGATTCTAAAGAACTGAGTTCTTTCACTCCAGGCTCATCTCTGCTCTTACTCGGGGACATGGGGCCTTCTGCCATGCTCGACGTTTCCCTTGGGAGTCTAAGAGTCATTAGGCTTTGCCATTTAACACTTCAGATTGTGTGAACATCCACAACATGGGGGATGGGCCCAGATCGTGCTGGCCCAGGCTTCCCAGCCTAACTCTTCTTCCTTCTTCCTGGGGGTTACAGCCTGGCTTGTCAGAGACCAGCTTGACCCTCTGCCCTCCTCTTCCTTTTCAACAGATCTCTGGTGAGTTTGGCTGAGCCAGTCATCTAATCATCCTTGGGCTCTTCAGGGCAAGTGATGTGTGTTTTCTTAGAGTTGGGGACAAAGAAACACAGCACATGTTTATGTGCTACAGTTGTTCTGGTGACAATTATCTTCCAAGGTTCGTAGGCTGGAAGCTTAGCTCCCAGTGAAGTGGTGTTGAGGGGATGGAACCTTTAAAAGGTGGGGCCTAAGAGACAATTAGATGCTGGGGGCACTGGCCTCAGTAGGCATGCACGCTGGTCTCTTGGAGTATGTTGGGTCTCTCAGGAATGGGTTAGTTCCTCTAAGAGTAAAGTTGTTATAAAAGAGACTGAGCCTGGCTTCTCCCTGATCTCTTGCTTCCTTGCTCTTATACGTTGCTTCTGCATATGGCAGTTTCCCTTTCTGCTTCTCTGCCATGTGTAATGCAGCTAGGGGGTCCCTCACCAGAGGCTAGGGCTAGGCCGTTTTGATTTCCCAATCACCAGAATCATAAGTGAATTAAACCCTTTTCCCTTATACATTCCCAGTGCTAGGTATTTTGTTATAGCAACACAGATGGACTACGTATGTCATTCAAGGGCCCTAAGATTGCAGGCAGAGGACCAGAAGACAGGCATATAAAATAAGGTAGCACCAGGGCCTTCATTTACTCACATTGCTTCCCTTTGGAATACCACTACCACTTACAGCTACCATTAATTGAGTAGTACATTATGTGCTTGGTACTTTTTCACTTAACTCTTATTAGCTCCATTTTATAGATGAACAATCTGGGGTTAGAGAGGCTAATAATCATGCTTAAGTTTATCTAGTTACCAAGCATGGAGGTGAGATTTTCACTTCAAATCCTGTTCCAACCCTTGTTATCTAACTCACAGTTTTCTAATTCTAGACCCAAGTTCCTTTTTTAGCAATCCCTGACAAGAATGGGATGCAGTTCAAGAATATGAGAACTAAAATATTTTCAAGGTTATTAAAAAGATAGGTAAGAAATAAATTCACACACGGTAGCATTTCCTATAAAGGGAATTCATAATTGGTAAGGATTATAATAATTCCATTCACATGTGATAGCTTTCTTTTTTTTTTTTTTTGCCAATCACAGATAGTGTAGATGAAATATGTTTCTTCTTCTCCTTTTTTTTTTCTTCCCCATGTGGTGCTGGGGATCAAACCTAGAACCTTGCACATACTAGGCAAGTCCTCTCTGAGTTACATCCTCAGCCTGAAATATATAGTGTATATGTATCATTAATATCGGTAAATAAACATCTTTGTAAGTTTAGTGTGATTACAACATTAATCTCTGATTATGCTTTTTCAATCTCTGATTGCACAAGATTCCAACCTAAAGTAAATGCAAAAAGGAACAGAACAATGAAGATCCTTAAGGCTCTACTGCCTGTTTTATTTTTTAATAACCACTCCTTTTTGACTCTGTTAACCCAGGCACCACTTCTGGGAGAAGTGCCTCCATGGCCAAAAACCAATGGAGAAATGTTTAATAAAAGGTTTTCATACTGGGTTCCCTTGGGGAATCTGAGGTGATGCCTTGGAGGGCTGGGGACAATGGTTCTAGGAATGTGTGTAATGAGAGGAGGACTAACTTGTCTTCAGGTAAGGCAAGGCTGCTTCTATATGGGGTACCATGGAAAGTTGTATTGAAATGAAAATATTCAATAGGCACAAAGAATTTGAAAGTTCCTAAACATAGTCCCTCCCCACCCCCACCTTATCAGTGGTTTCACTTTATAGCTCAGTTACCCATGGTCAACTGATATCCAAAACTGTTAAATGAAAAATTCCAGAAATAAACAAATTATAAGTTTTAAATTATATACAATCATGAGTAGTGTGATATAATATTACACCGTCCCACTCTGTCTCACCTGGGGCACGAATCATCTATTTGTCCAATGTATCCATGCTGTATACACTACCCGCCCATTAGTCAGTTAGCAGCTGTTTTGGTTATCAGATAAACTGTCACAGTATAGCAGTGTTTGTGTTCAAGTAACCATTATTTTATTTAGTCAGCAGCCCATAGTACAAGAGTAGCAATGCTGGCAATTCTGTTATGGTATATGTTATAATTGTTCTATTTTATTTTACTATCACCAATTTATAAGTTAAATTTTATCACAGGTATGTATGTATTGGAAAAAAATAGTATAGATAGGGTTTGATATTATCTGCAATTAAATATCCACTGGGCTCTTAGATATGGGGGACTACTGTATACAGAGACCTTTCCAAAGTTTGGAACAGATTATTTCTTCAACTCTAAAACAAGGTTAATATCCTTAATTAATACCCGGAATTACAGTGAGAAGTAGTTATAAAACAATCTTGCAAAGTGAGTGATGGCAATGACACAACAGCGGCTGTGACGATGGGGTGGCAATTCCACCTGACTGCTCCCTCCTGAATGCCTGAAGCTGCGCGTGGCCATAATGACAGAGGGCCTCTGCTGTCAGACTTGTACCAAAGTGCAAAGTGCATGAGGGTGAGAAGCTGGTAGATCAGGATCAACTGCCACCAAAGATTAATTTCTGCTTTAAAAATCAACTCCCTGCCCTTCCTTTCTAATGATGTTCTCTTAAAGCCTACTTGCTTATTGGACAATTACTCTCCGAGACACATTGCATGCATGAAAAAAACCATCAGATAAGGTCATTATCTCTAGTTCTCATTGAGTATTATTAATGTTTCCTTTTTATGTAAAGTGTGGATATTTGAGTCTTATCTCATTTCCTCAACTCTAAATTTTTGAAAAGCAGAGCCTAGGTTCATTTTTCTCCATGCCTCTGCCTGAGAGAGACTAACCTGGTACCTTGCTTATGGAGTTATAATTATTCAATAATAATATTTTAAAATAAATATTATATTCCCTTGCCCCATTACCTGGAAATTGGTGCACTACCCATCAAAACAGACATTTGTGGATTTTAAATTGTTTTAATCCACATGGGCTTTAGTTCTGTTTTCTGTTCAGGACAACCAAATAAAACCCCAAACAGGTGGCTCAGAAGAGCAGCTTTCTTGGCATGTTACTGGTCCAGGTTTTTATTTCTTGCTCTATAAAAACACTTACTGTCTGATAAAAGGGTTTGCTAGAAAGGCTGCTGCTGCTACATATGACAAAGATGATGATAATGACAGCAGTAAGATCTGTTGAACACTTTGTGGCAGGCACTGGGCTGAGCCCCTTATGCACATGATCTCATTTGAACTTAGAAGCGCCTTATGAGGTGCTATTATGATTTCCAATTGATGCATGATCAGACCACACACACGGCACACCCAGCCAGGTAAAATGCCTTGACTAAGGACTCAGGTCTTCTATCGCCAATGCAGGACTTACCTGGGAAGTACAGAGTTAGGTGGCCTGGATTTTGCAGGGGATGCAACTTTTGGTTCTGGCCCCGAACTCCCTGAAGATCCCAGCAGAGACTCCTGCCCTGGCCCAGGTGGATTTGGAAGTATTTCCCTTGTGGAAGTCAGGAGGTGCTCTTTAACTTCTTTCTCCCGGGACTTGGCTTTGTGTTCCGCCAGGAGGAGGTCAAATTGCTTTTTCCGGCCCGGGACTGCCCTCCGATGGCTTAGCGAGTGTGTCTAAGGAGAAGAGAGATGAGAAGCACAGCCTCTTTGATCAGCACATAAACCTGCTTCCCCAGGCCCTGCATTTCAGAAATAGCAATCATGGGAATTTAGAGGTGCTTGAAAAGTCAACTTCAAGGCAACAGCTCCTGCTCTGTGGCTGGGAAGAGGCAGAGACCACACGGACGCAACCATGCCCTACACTCCTGGTGCTAAGAAGCCAAAGCTTCCTCCAAAAACATGGCCTGAGATGACGAGCTTCAGCGCAGAACCCATGAAAACCTCTCTGATGAAAAGGCAACCGCGAGGGAATGCTAGAGTTAATCCAGGTGCAGGTGGGAGGCTCGAGTCGGCCCAGACAAACCGAGCCACCAAGCAGAGAGGGCCATAGCCTCGATCCCAAGAAGCACTAGCAGTTCAGAAGGAAATGTGGGGCTTTGGGCTACCCAATGGCGGCCGCCTTGGGTCCGCTGTTCCCCTGGCCACCCCGTGTGGCTGGATCAGGGGCGCGGCATCTCATCCTCCCCTTCAGGGCGCTGCCGCCGCCGCCGCCGCCGTTCCTGCATACATTAAAACGTAGCAGGCTTTAGAACCGCCTGTGAGTGCCTATAAATACAATTTACTGTCTGGCCTCCCAAGTAACAGGGGAAGCCTAGTTTTTTTTTTTTTTCCCTCTCCTTAAAAAGCCAGCCAGCTTGAGGCAGGCACTCTGCTACCATGGACGAGAAGAAAGCATTTCCCTTACAAAGAACAGCTGGAGGTCATGTCGAGGTTCCACACCCTGCCGTGTGCAGAGAGTGGCATGCAAACATTTCGACAAAGGCCCCAGCAAGAGCAGGAAGTATTTTTTATGGAAAGAGAAATACCTTGCAGGTGAGGGATCTTGTGCAAGGTTTCTTTGTCTCGGGATCCAATACTCCACAGTGTTTATTTGGGTCAAATTCTCTCTCTGGTTTAAGAAACAAACAAAAAATATAAGAAAAAAGGAGACTAAATAGGATTTGGCATTAAGACTACAGTTTTAAAAAATGCACATTTGCACCAACAAGTGAGACATTGTCAGGCAATCTGTTTTTCCTTCTTCTTCTTCTTTTTTTTCCCAACCGGCTGCTAAAATGCCTCAAGACCCACGTAGGGGAAAATGGCAGTCCCCTTTGATCGCAGAGTTTCCAAGCCCAGCACAGGGCACCAGGGTTAGGGTGGGAGAGGGCAACAGAAGAAAAGGAACTGTGCTGCTTGCAACACTTCATTTTATTTGAACGGTCCACACAGGTCCTTGGCACGTGGGGCATAGCGGCTGCAGAGCAGGGAGAGCCACCTGAGACTCAAGGGTCTCTTCTTCCTGGGCTGCTGCATACACCCCAGTACACACACCCCAGCCTCCACCCCTGCCTTCCTGCTAATTTAGCCATTTAAGTGGGAGATGGTTCCTTGACATGTCAGTGTGACCTGCCTCTCCCATACTTTACAAAGCACTCAGCAGGGGCTTTCCACACACCTGCACAGACCAACAAAGTCATTTACCTGATTCAGGAACATTCTAGATACAGGCAGGGGCAGGGAAAAGTCTGAGTGTGTGTTTTTGCGTGAGTGAACCTGTACTCTGTTCCTAGCCTTGGCCCTGAAGCCCTTCAGGAGAATAAGACAGGGCAGCTAGGGAGGAAGGGCCCCTGTGTGGGGAGATGTGGCTTTACCCGGGTCCTGGGTCTGAAGGGATGGTTGACAGCTCATGTGGAGGCTACTTCTAAGGAATCAGTTCTTTTTATGCCCATTGGGGATCCTTCCTCCCTTCTGGGATAACAAATATGTTCTCCATACCTGGAAAATGTGGGGACATGAGGCAATCTTTTAAGGATCCATTAGGTTTTAGAATGGCCTGTGCTGTTTCTGGAAGGTACCCAGTGAACACCCAAGTTCTGAGGAGAGGAAGTCCACAGCTCTCTGGGTGTGTGTGGAAATAGGTGGCGTTCTATTGCTGGGGGGAGGAGGGCCTCGAATAGCTCCAAATTCAAGAGAGGTTACCCAGTCAACAACTGCAATTGGTGGAGTAAACTCAGAGCATAATAAATGAATGTGTTCTATTTTCAAAGAAGGTTTGGGGGTCAGGAGGGGAGGTTGCAACAGTAGCTATGATGCTGTGGGCATGAAATCATTCTTACACCCAAGGATATCCAAGTACTTCCCTCCCTCCTTTGTGCTTTTTGCCTTCCTTTTTTACAATCTTCATTTTAAGAAAAGAAAACTGCTAGGTCTGGAGATGCTGGTTTCCTTGGATCCCTCTGCCCAGCAGGCAGTGAATGCCTGCGTGCCAGGTCCCACGCTGTGCCGTGGGGGTCCTTCCCCCTCGGATCTGTCAGAGTCCGGCCAGTGCCCAGACCCACACCAGCACCTCATGCTGGCCTAGAGCTGAGCGGGTTATTGGCTGGGGGATGGAATTGGATGCCAAATGTGGGAGCGAGGTAGAAACAAGAAAAGACCCAATGAGACAAGAAAACTAACCAAGTGCAAAACCAATAGTCCTCAGGAAAGTCCCAGACAAACTCAGATTGCGATACAGGCTGCAAGTCAAGATCATGCTTCTGCTGCAACAAGGGATCCGTGGCCTCTGGACACTGTGCCCAGGCCTATTCGCTGCTCCCCTCCCCCCCCACCATCACTGACACTGCACTTCCATTCAGGGGGAGCAAGGCCCCAGAGTGCTCACAGAGCACCACACTCTACCTTTCCCTCACAGTGGGTGGCTAGGACATGGAGAATGGGGCAGGGCACTATTTCCATTTGAATGCTTTGGGCCTGAGGTATTTGTAATATATGATTTTTTAAAGAGTTTCAAATGTAAGATAGAAAAATAAGAAATACAGATAAACACAAAGTAGAAAATAAAAATTACCCACAGTTCCTTGGGTGCTTAAAAACCTTGCTCACGGCTGGGCGCAGTGGTGCATGCCTGTGATCCCAGCGACTTGGGAGGCTGAGGCAGGAGGATCTCGAGTTCAAAGCCAGCCTCAGAAACTTAGAAAGGCCCTAAGCAACTTAGCAAGACCCTGTCTCTAAAAAATATGAAAAAGGGCTTGGGATGTAGTTCAGTGGTTAAACTCGCCTGGGTTCAATCCTCAGTACCAAACAAACAAACAAAAAAACAAACCACCCTCCAAAAACCAAAAACCCAAATAACCAGACTTGCTTATAACCAGAAGGTTTCTCTCTCACGGGATGGCTTTCACTGTATTTTATTTTTTTCTGGCTACCATTAGATAGACCTCATGGTGTGTGGAGATATTATGAAGTTATAGCTTTTCCTGGTCATTTAGAGAGAGCAGAACTGCCCAAGTTAGTTCTACAACAGATCCAAAGCAAACATCATCCATAAGGGGCCTCTAGCGAGCCACTCAAAGAGTGGCCATGTGTCTGCTTGGACAACTGAGGAGTAGGCCCAAGAGAGACCTCCCAGTGCCCCATCTGCTGTGCCAGCCTGAGTCTCCCATTTGAGAACTCTGACCTGATTATGGGGAAAGGGCATTTGTAAAAGTCCCAACTGCAGAGTCAACCTGGAAACCCACAAGGCCAAAGGACAGCGGTGTATCTCCCTGTGTAGCATTTTTCTGATGAGGCTATCCCAGCATGACCAGAGCCACTGTGAAATATCCCTGCAGACTGTCCAACTTTATAGCAGTGAAGCTTCTGTGGGAGCCAAGGACCTTCAACCTGTCAGCATATTTGGCTGCACAGAGCCACCTGCTAAGGAGACCCTCTAAGTCCACAGACTGTTGGTCAGTGCAGAGCATCTCACCCCTGGGGTGGCTGGAGTAACTCCTCCTAAGCAATTAACCAAGCAAAGGGACTTTGCCTGGGAGTAAGAAGCAGTTCTCCTTGCACTTTTAGGTGGAGGTCCTGTTTGCAGATAGCTCCATGTCCCCCTTAAAATAAAACAGAGCTGCTTAATTATAAGAACACTCCTTTGGTTACAGATGGGACTCAACTTTAGTCTTATCATGAGCCAGACTCTAATGACACTGACACATACCTGAAAGTCTCCGGTAAGGCTTGTTGCTGTTTTTGGTGCCATTTTGGTGTTTCTTGTCTATTGTGGCTGACAGAATTCCTTTGCCATTTAGGATTTTCTCTGGTGAAGGTGGCACTGACTTGGACATCAAGATGGGCTTAATTAAAGGAGGGGTGGAGACGGCAGAGGAGGAGGTGGAGGAGGAGGTGACTGCAGTAGTGGTTGTAGAGTTCATTTTGACATTGGCACCATCTGCCTTCACTAGGTTAGGAATTTTCTCTAAACTGACTACAGGAACCGGAACGCTGAAAAATAAATGAACAAACATACACAATTGCCTTCTTTGATACATCTGGTCTGCTGAAGAGCTATAGCCGCTTATCATTATCAGAACACTTCCTTATCACTTATTTATACTCCTCCTATAAGCAAGCAGCATGATTCCAGTTTTGATGGGATAGAGATTTGTGCTGTGGAAAGGACCAACAGGGGGTGTGAGGCTGGCACAGTGCCCAGGATAGCATCAGAGCTGACTGATTACCTCCCGTGCTGGCTTGTCCCCATGGATCCTGTGATTCTCCTCTTTCTCAGGTCCTATGTGTGGGTCTCTGAAACGGCACCTTGGGCAGAACAAGGCATCCGCTGTGAAGCCCAGGCAGAGACACTGTCTGTCCCCTGCAGACAGTGTGCCACAGTTGAATAAGGTTCCCTTCCCCCTGTTCACTAGTCTCCCTCCCCAGCCGATCGACCTGACATCTGCTTAGCTCCGGAGAGCTGACAGGATCACACCCCACGGAGGCATGGCTTCAGGCCAGCCCGCCGCACTCCATGCTGTTGGAGGGCTTCTGGATCACTCTCATATCCCGGGGATGGGCTCAAATTGAGTGAGCCGCCATGTACCATTATCCAATATTCCATTTTAGGCAGCTAGTTATGTAAATAGGCAATTCTCAAGGCTGGCAGGTGAGAGGATGAATTTTAAGAAGGCAAGAGCACAAAGGTGTGCATTCACTCTTCAGAATCTGTCACCTTTGCCCCACTTCCCTGCTATTTCTCCTGTGATGGATGTGCATTTGATTTCTGCAGCTCTTTAATGCTGGAGGACCCTGTGTCTGGGGGGCTGTGGAGGACTCTGTCTTGGGGTCTTAAAAGATGAGATGAATAAGCTTTGCTTTGGTCCCTGAACCAGATTCCCTTTCCTCCTGGCAGGAGGGTAGAATGCTAACACTTCAGCTCCCCAATCATCTTTGAGCTGAGAGTGCAGCCGACTTAGCTATTTGAATGCCAAATGATGGAGAATATGGCTTTTACATGCCTGCAGACAATGTAGGGCATGAAAGAGAGGCTGTTTTTGGCAGGGGAGGAATCCTATCTGTCCACAAAGCTGGCTGGCTCCCTCTTCTCTAAGATACACTCACAGATCATTTCTGTGATCAAAGTATTCATGAAATTATTTCAGCAACCCCTGAGCCCCTGTCCCTCTTCTGACTTAGAAACAGGATCACAGATGTTACAGATCTTTGCCAGTGAGAAGGGCACATAGTGGTGGAACAGATTGTGGCTGGACATTACGGATTCTCCCTTGGGGCCATGTGACTTCTTGGCCTGGGGAAAGAGTGTGGGACTTAGTCGGTGTGAGGGGAAACTGGAATGGTGGCTTTTAGCAATACTTGGTATAACTGCCAGTTCTGCCCTGTATTGGAGTCGTTGATGCACAGCTGCCTGTTTATTTAATGGTGATTCTCTAAGCACTCCCATGTTGCTTGCCAACTGCACCAGAAGCCCTTGAGGAGTGACAGTGCTCAGAAGTTATATACACTCCTCGGTGAAGTTATCACCTGCAATGGTTTGAATGAGTCCTCCAAAGTTTGAATGAGTCCTCCAAACTCAACCTTCAAGTTCACATGTTGATGGTATTTGGAAGTGGTGTCTTTGAGAGGTAATTGGGGTCAGATGAAATTGGGAGGATGGGGCTCCCCGACAGGGATTAGTGGCTTTATAATAAGAGGAAAGGAGACCTGAGCCTGTGTACTTCCTTACCCTCATCATGTGATGCCCTCCACCATGACAGCAAAAAGGCCCTCACCAGTTGCTGGCACCTTGATCTTGGACTTCCTAGCCTCCAGACCATGTAAAACAAATTTCTTTCTTTCCTTCCTTCCCTTGTTTCTTTTGTAGTCCCAGAGTTGAACCCAGGGGTACTCCACCACTGAATTACATCCCTAGCCCTTTTTATTTTTAATTTTAAAACAGGGTATTAATAACAGGTATTGCTGAGGCTGGCCTCCAACTTGCAATCTTCCTGCCTCAGCCTCCTCTGTTGCTGGGATAATAGGCATGCACCATTGCCACCATGTACCTACCATTTTTCTTTATAAATCCACCCAGTCTGCAGTATTCTGTTACAGCAGCAGAAAACAGACTAAGATAACACTGCATTCCTGATTTTTTCCAAATGATTAAAAATGTGAAGGTGTGTGATATTGTGCAACAGAATTCTTCCAGGCTCATTTTTTCACTCTATTTTAAAAAACACAAGCTACAGAAACCAGGGTCTCAAAGAGATATCTGCACACCCATGTTCAGAGCAGCATTATTTGCAACAGCCAGAGGGTGGAAGCAACCCAATGTCCATCAACAGTTTAATGGACAAATAAAATGTGGTACAATTTGGCCTTAAAAAGGAAAGAGATTCTGACCTAGGGATGAACTTTGAGGACAGTGTGCTAAATAAAATAAGCCAGTGACAAAAAGACAAATAATATGTGATTCCACTTCCACAAAGTACCCAGAGTAGTCAAATTCATGGAGATGGGAAATAGAGCTGCAGTTGCCAGGGGTTGAGGGAGAGGAGAATGGGTATAGAGTTTCATTTTTGTTTTTGGTATTGAGGATTGAACCGAGGCGTACCCTACCCCTGAGCTTCATCTACATCCCTTTCCATTTTTTATTTTAAGACAGGGTCTCCCTAAGCTGCCTAGGCTGGTCTTGAACTTGCCATCCTTCTGCCTCAACCTCTGGGATTACAGGCATGTGTCACAGCACCCAGCCTAGAGTTTCATTTTTTAAAAATTAATTAATTAATTCTAATTTGTTATTCAAGACAGCATCATTGTTATAAAATGAAGAGAACTCTGGAGTTTGGTTACACAGCAATGTGAATGTACTTAACACTACTGAACTGTGCGTTAAAAAAGGTTAAGATGGTAAATTTTATGTTACGTGCATTTTACCTTAATTTGAAAAATTTAAAGGTACAAACTAAAAAAAATCCAAACAAACCAAATTACAAAACTCAATGTAAACCTGAAATAACACGTACATATGTGTATGTGTATACACACACATAGAAGAACCTACTCAAAAAGTTTTCTTTAAATTTTTTTTGTAGTTGTAGATGGACAGAATGCCTTTATTTTATCTATTTACTTTTATGTGTTGCTGAGGATCAAACTCAGTGCCTCACACATGCTAGGCAAGCGTTCTGCCACTGAGCTACAACTCCAGCCCTCAAAAAGTTTTTTTTTTTTTTAATTTCTCACTCTTGATCAGATCTACTAAGTTTTGTCTCTTTAGTACAAAAATAAACCAAACTTCAAATGTTGATACTATTCAGGTGAGCAGGCCTCCAGCACCTGAGCCACCTTCTCTGACAACACTTCTTTGTGAAGTCATTTTAGTTCAGGAAAGGAATCAAGACCTTCCAGCTCCAGATTTGGCTCTCATTGCACGAGCAGGGATGAGTACAAAGTTCTCCAGGTTCTGTGAAGCATGCCCTAGTGTAGGCTGAATGCTTATGTCCTCAGCAGACAAAGGTCTGATGCTGGGGACTGAATAATTCAGAACAAAGGTATAAATTGCCCTTCAAATGCTCACAGTTCAGTTGTGTTTCTCCTCCAGAAAGTCCAGCTCCAGATGTACTCTGTAAGGCAGCCGCATGAGCGCAGGGGCACTAGGCCCAGACATCTGGATCAGTGTGCCCGTTGACTCATCGCTTAGGTGACGCTTCTCTCAACTATGTGTGACTGAGCTTGAACCAGGCCAGCTAAAGTCTGTGACTGAGCTCCTAATTTGAAATTTTTCCCAAGTATGGCCCATTCATTTTCTGTACCGCCAGCCCTTCCAGAACTCCAGCTGGACTTCAGTCCCAGTGCCCACATGCAGGATGCAGAGCTCATGGGAAACAGGAAAGGCTTAAGTACAGTCCTCTAGGACTGAGGAATGGGAAGTGAGGGTGGGATCCAATCAAGAATGTCTTAAAGCATTCTAAAGACCAGAGAGTCAGGAGGCAGCTAGCCACTGAGTGAACTTCCATGTTGGAGGGGAAGGGTGGCTGAATTCTTTCAGGTGGAAACTCTAGGATGTTCATTAACTTCTGGAGAAGGCTATCGACCCCTCCATATCGAGGAGGAGAACCTGGGCTGTCACTGATACTTCTTCCCTCTGGTGTACCTTCTTTCTCTCAAAAACTTGGGGGTTCCTCTCTAAGGTAATCTGCCTTTGGCCTGGGAGGTAAGAGAAGATGGAGAAGCAGACAGCTCCATGACAGTAGAGAGAACCAAACATGTTCCCAGATGAACTGGGGGTGGGGGGAGATGAAAATCATCTGTATTTGATCTTGCCATGCCTGTTTCTCCAGTATAAATTCTAGCCACCATGGAATCAGATGGACTGTTTAAGCAGCGTGTGTCTGTAGTCCAGCAGTGGGTACTGTGGCCACGGGAAGCCACCTGTCATAGTTTAGATTTGGAATGTCCCCCTAAGGCTGTGTTGAAGCCTTGGTCCCCAATGCGGCAATGTTCAAAGGAGCCTTAGGGATGTGATGGATCATGAGCTCTTTAATCTCATCAACCATTGGTGGATTCCTAGCTGAACGAACAACTGGGAGGTGGTGGAAGGTATCTGATGAGGGACCTAGTAGAAGGGAGTAAGTCCTTGGGGAATACTTTGGGGACTAGATCTTGTCCCTGGTTCCTTCCATTCTCTCTCTCTGATTCCTGGCTTCCATGAGGTAAGCAGTGTTGCTCCACCACAATGTTCTCATTACAGGCCTAGAAATAGCCGGGTGTGGTGGTGCATGCCCCAATCCCAGTGGTTTATGAGGCTGAGGCAGGAGGATTGTAAGTTCAAAGCTACCTTCAGCTAAAGTGAGGTGCTAAGCAACTCAGTGAAACCCTGTCTCTAAATAAAATACAAAATAGGGTTGGAGATGTGGCTCAGTGGTCGAGTGCCCCTCAGTTCAATCCTTAGTATGGAAAAACAAAGAAACAATGGAGCCAGCCAACCATGGACTGAAACCTCTGAA